GAAGTGGAAAATAAAACAAATCTTATCTTTGTTGTTATGGTGTTTCTGTTGTTTCTGAATGTTTTGCTAGTATTTGCATACATGTGCAGCAGTGGAGTGAGTACTGCTGAGTACCTGGAGGTTAGGGTGATTGCCTCAGGGCAGCAGGAAGAGGGGCGCCATTTCTGCAAGAGCCTCGACAGACTTTGACAGATGAGATTCAACGGTAGACACGTCACCACTGTGACCCCTGACCTGCAGAACAACATGATTCTTCTTGTTTGGCTTTATTTCATATAAACAATGTCACTGGTTCTCACCACCGCTAGAAAGTTAGCTGTGCTAATGCTAATGTGCTAATCACAAACATTACTTCTGCTTACGTTAAAGTGCAACATGGTATGTTACGTCACGTTGCTCAATGTGAACCTGATGCTCTCAGCAGATGGACACCTGGACATTACCCACACTTTTATAGTTTTACACATTGAGAGAAATGCTTCTCCTTTAACCTCGTAAATTTGTTTCAAAAAGGGTTTTGTTCTAAATTATTCTGCTAAATGTAATGAACATGTTTTGTTTAGGCCATTTACACCTTTAATCCTGGACTTCCTGCTTCACTTCAGGCATCATTTCTAAAATGGCCGCCTGCAATAATGTGATGATCTGCTGATATTTGATGCAGCTCCAGTTGTTCACATCAGAGCTGCTTTAATCATCCAGTGGTCGGGTTCTGGTTCTGGTTCTGCCCACATTCCTTCCTGGCTGCAGCTTATTTCAGGGTCGCTGTGTCAGCAGCAGTGAGGCGTGAAGGATCTGGGCTTTTATTCCTCACCAGTTAAACCAGTGAGACGTTCTGAACTGGACCTGATCTGATTGAGGCTGACCTTCCAGCGTTGTGCCAGTAGGAGGCGCCATCATGGCTGCTGACCCAGAGAAGAGGAGCAGGCGGTTCCGACCCGTTGGACCTGCTGGTCCTCCATCTATGGAGCGGTTCGAGCTCCTCGCCGTCGCTCACATTCCTGCAGCCTGAGCGGCGCGTTAACCCGCCGGGTCAGCGTGGAAACAGGAAGATTAGTCACGGTTTACTGCAGAACGTCCGATCAGCTGCCGAGGTCCTAGTCAAAGCTCATATGTTGACTTCCAGTCTGGGTCCAGAACTCTGTAGAACCTCCTCCAGTACAGAGAGGCGTGTTCTGATTGGTCAGCAGTTTACTGCCATGTTTTACAGAAATGCTGATATTTTTCTTCGACTGCTCGACTTCCTGCATCCGGGTTTTACATCCGTTTGTCCGACTCGCTGACAAACTTTATAATTCCTGACGTATCCCCTGCAGACAGGTGGCGCTCTCTCTGTGAAAACTAAGTGGAGGCTGCAGAAAAATGGTGGAGGAAACACCTTAGTGTTTGTCGTTCAGACCGGAGCAGATGGTGAGGATTGAAGGAATCGTTTTAAATCAAATCTTTTCCCCAAAGATCTGATTCAAAATGTCAGACGGTGAAATCTTCCCTCAGCAGTGAGGAAGTAGAAGCTGCCAATGTATGCTAGCTAGCGTTAGCTAACCTGTTCAATTAACAGATGTTATATTCTACTGCTTGGCGCCCTCTGCTGATAGCGCCCTGGGCAGCTGCCCATGAAGCCCATTTCAGAACCTGCTCAGATTCCCCATGTTGCTGTTCCAGTGAGCGGAACCAGTCGGTCCAGAGCAGTTCTGCTGACAGCCTCGCAGGTAACAATCAGACAAGACTGGAGGAATTCAGCTCCAAGGTCTGCAGCGATGATTCACCACCAGAGCGCCGCTTCATTCAGCCGCTTCATTCAGCCGCTCCGTCCAAACCTGACTGCAGTCCGAGGAAAACTCTTGGAAAACGTTGTGCTTCCTGCAGAAAGAGCCCCTCTGTCTCTCCAGCTGCGTATTGCTCTGCGTGTCGCTGACCTTTGACCTTCTGTCCAGCAGTCAGGACGGATTAGGAAACCTCTGGTTAAAGACAGGAGAGGGCTCGACCCGCTGAGACGGGAACATCCAAAACAGAACCGGATCGGATCGAGATGTTTGACCCAAACAGGACCAAACATCTGTTTATTGAAAATAATGTAATTTATTACTTTAAAACTGAAAGTATTTTAAATGAAAACCAATTCTAATCCTAATCCAAGCCCTCAGATTAGACCAGATTTAAATCTTAATTTAACAAAACAAACATTAAAAACTCCTTTTAGTTTTTGATCAGCAAAAGTTTTCACAAAAAATCTGACGACTTTGAAGTTGTAAAAACTGAGTTTAGTTTTGAAATTGCAGAATAATTTTCTGTAATTTTATTTTTGAATTATTATATAATTAATAATTAAGAATCGTTTTGGTTTGTGACGCCGCTGCAGACAGGAAACCAAAGACTGATTTAGATTTAACTCTTTACATCCAACATTCAGATGACGCTTCAACTTCAGGCTGAACCACTTCCTGTCTAGACAGGAAGTGAACTCATAAAAGGAGACAAACATCCAATGTGAACCTCTGCAGGGAAACCCAGCGAGGCGTTTCCTGTCAGACCACAGCCAACGAGCTCTAGTCTGACCTTTGACCCCAGCATCAGGAGATAATCTGGAATTTTTCTGCTGCTGCTAAATTTAACTGGTTGATGCTGACCTTTGACCCCTCACTGATCCTGACTGACCTTAAAGGGATCAGTGGAGGAGCAGCTATGGGGTCAAAGTTCAGCTCTGGTTTACAGTCGAGGTTGTGTTGTCATGGTGACAGAGACTAGCTGGTTGCTGTGATCAGCCGATGGAACAGAAAGTTTCATCTGATTTGGTCGTTTTTACAGATTTCTCAGAGTTTATAGGTTGTGCTGATGTAGCAGAAATGAGATGTTCAGTTCAGGCCCTGAAAGGAGGAAGATGATGATGACGATGATGATGATGATGATGATGAAGACGATGATGATGATGAAGAAGAAGATGATGATGATGATGATGATGAAGAAGAAGAAGAAGAAGAAGATGATGATGATGATGATGATGATGATGATGATGATGATGATGATGATGAAGAAGAAGAAGAAGAAGAAGATGATGATGATGATGATGTGATGATGATGATGATGATGATGATGAAGAAGAAGAAGAAGAAGAAGATGATGATGATGATGATGATGATGATGATGATGATGATGATGATGATGATGATGATGATGATGAAGACGATGATGTCGCCGCATGTTGAGCCTCGCCACTGGTTGCTTGGATGCCAAGGTTATAGGCTCTGCTTGGATCTATTGGACGTTTCCTGCGATGAATTCAGGGTCTGTGTGTAAATCTGACGTCTGACCGGTTGGAGGACCGACTGCAGCCGAGGATGAGGAGGACATCTTCATCAGTTGATCAGCTTACCAATGTTTTCTGGATTATTTTGATAAGCAGAGACGTATGTAAACTTCTGACCTCAGATGAAAAATGGCGGCTGGTTAACGAGGGTCTGCTGGGGCAGACATGAGCAGCAGAGTGCAGAGCTGATCATCAGAGCTGATCCATCAGTAATTAACTCCGACCCCTGAAGGTCAGCAGACATCAGAGGGAAACAGACGGAGATTAGAGCTGTCTGCAGATCAGAAGGAAAAATTAATCTCACTGCGGATTCCTGAGTAACAATCCGATCAGTGCAGCGCGAAGTTTACCAACTAGAAACCAAAAACTTCAACTGAGCCTGTAATCTGAAGAGTTCAGCTAGATGGAGCTAGCTGTAACGCTATTTATCCACCAGGCGGCGATGTAGCCTCAGCTAGCTGTAACGCTATTTATCCACCAGGCGGCGATGTGGCCTCAGCTAGCTGTAACGCTATTTATCTACCAGGCGGCGATGTAGCCTCAGCTAGCTGTAACGCTATTTATCCACCAGGCGGCGATGTGGCCTCAGCTAGCTGTAACGCTATTTATCCACCAGGCGGCGATGTAGCCTCAGCTAGCTGTAACGCTATTTATCCACCAGGCGGCGATGTGGCCTCAGCTAGCTGTAACGCTATTTATCCACCAGGCGGCGATGTAGCCTCAGCTAGCTGTAACGCTACTTATCCACCAGGCGGCGATGTAGCCTCAGCTAGCTGTAACGCTATTTATCCACCAGGCGGCGATGTACACTCAGCTGGCTGTAACACTGTTCATCCACCAGGCGGCGATGTGGCCTCAGCTAGCTGTAACGCTATTTATCCACCAGGCGGCGATGTGGCCTCAGCTAGCTGTAACGCTATTTATCCACCAGGCGGCGATGTGGCCTCAGCTAGCTGTAACGCTATTTATCCACCAGGCGGCGATGTACACTCAGCTGGCTGTAACGCTATTTATCCACCAGGCGGCGATGTGGCCTCAGCTAGCTGTAACGCTATTTATCCACCAGGCGGCGATGTGGCCTCAGCTAGCTGTAACGCTATTTATCCACCAGGCGGCGATGTAGCCTCAGCTAGCTGTAAAGCTACTTATCCACCAGGCGGCGATGTAGCCTCAGCTAGCTGTAACGCTATTTATCCACCAGGCGGCGATGTGGCCTCAGCTAGCTGTAACGCTATTTATCCACCAGGCGGCGATGTGGCCTCAGCTAGCTGTAACGCTATTTATCCACCAGGCGGCGATGTGGCCTCAGCTAGCTGTAACGCTATTTATCCACCAGGCGGCGATGTGGCCTCAGCTAGCTGTAACGCTATTTATCCACCAGGCGGCGATGTACACTCAGCTGGCTGTAACGCTATTTATCCACCAGGCGGCGATGTGGCCTCAGCTAGCTGTAACGCTATTTATCCACCAGGCGGCGATGTGGCCTCAGCTAGCTGTAACGCTATTTATCCACCAGGCGGCGATGTAGCCTCAGCTAGCTGTAAAGCTACTTATCCACCAGGCGGCGATGTAGCCTCAGCTAGCTGTAACGCTATTTATCCACCAGGCGGCGATGTAGCCTCAGCTAGCTGTAACGCTATTTATCCACCAGGCGGCGATGTAGCCTCAGCTAGCTGTAACGCTATTTATCCACCAGGCGGCGATGATGGCCCCGCCCCCCCATCCATTTCCCACTGTGGACGTCCCTGACCACGCCCACTACACCATCGGCTCCATCATCCTGGTCATCGGCGTCACAGGTGTGGTCGGGAACTTCCTGGTGATCTACGCCTTCAGCAGGTACAGAGAATACTTCCTGCAACCAAATATGGTCAGAACCATTCTGACCATTGGTCAATGAAATGTCCTCTCAATGCTGCTACATTTTATTATTTCATTCAAATACTTTATTATTTCATTTAAACTAAATTTGGAGGCTTCTTTTCACTAAGAGTAATTTAGCTGAGAATTAAAAGGAGTAATTTTCTTTCACAACAGAAAATACCTAAAGATCTGATTTCCTCAACAAAAGGCCAGATATCAGAGCCGGTGAACTGATCCATCACTGCTCAGCAAACATCTTTGTTTGAGTTGGGGAACGATTCGATCCAGCCGGTTTCTGACGTCCGCTTCATCGATCGACGTTTATTTAGAGGAAAACCAGAAGATTTAATTCTGATGGTTCTGATCCAGAATCTTTCCATCAGAACCACGAACCGAGTTCATCCTGAAGTTAAAACAGGAACGCAGAAACAATCTGAAAACCTAAAGCATTCACATTAATACTGTTAAACTTAAAAAATGATGAAAAGAGTTAAAGTAAATTTATCTAAATATAAAAATCGATCAGATCTGCTGTTATTGATCGGGAATCACTGAAGGTAGATTCAGTTTTGTTTCTTCAAGAAAATATTTTATTTTGTAGATAAACTTTTGAAACCGATTTGGCAGAAATCCTGAATTTGACCTGGACTATGGGGTTAAATCAACACCAAAAATGTTACACCTGGGAAAAAATATCAAGTTTTGATCTTAAAAATAAAAATGTATATTTATTTTATTCAATCATTTTTGTAGTTTTCTCAGTTCAACATCAAACTTCTGTATTCAGTTTTAACTTCATAATGTTCATCTGTTTCTTGAAATGATGAAATTTAAGGATTTGGTCAAAACATTTAAAAACTTGCTGTAAAGAAGAACAAGTTTAGATATTGACTGAGTACAGTTCATTCAACATAAACAGCTGAAAACCAAATTATAAAAAAAAATGAAAGGAAATATTTTCAAAACGTTTTAAATCCCTAACAGCACAGAGGCGCCACCTTCTGGCAGAAATGTCCATTAACATGATGCAAGAAAAGTTTTTATTAGGCCCGAGCAGCTAAGCGCTGCGAAGGCCTATTGTTTTCCTATTGTTTATTATTATTATTAGGCCCGAGCAGCTAAGCGCTGCGAAGGCCTATTGTTTTCCTACTGTTTCTTATTATTATTATTATTATTATTATTAGGCCCGAGCAGCTAAGCGCTGCGAAGGCCTATTGTTTCTGTACTGTTTCTTTATTAGGCCCGAGCAGCTAAGCGCTGCGAAGGCCTATTGTTTTCCTACTGCTCTTATTAGGCCCGAGCAGCTAAGCGCTGCGAAGGCCTATTGTTTTCCTACTGTTTATTAGGCCCGAGCAGCTAAGCGCTGCGAAGGCCTATTGTTTTCCTATTGTTTATTAGGCCCGAGCAGCTAAGCGCTGCGAAGGCCTATTGTTTTCCTACTGTTTCTTATTATTATTCTGCCCCCTAAAGAGGGGCCTTTTTGGGGGCTTTATCATATTCAAAAACTCACCAAACTTGGCGGACGCGTAAAGGGAGTTTTCAAAATTTTGTATTTTAAGGTCATCGCAAAAATCCCATAAGAAATGGCTCAATAGCGCCACCTACAAATTTTCAAAGGACCCTTTGCTATTCACTTACTTTATCCTAGAGACATGAAATTTGGTACACTTGTAGAGCTCCCCAAGATGCTCAAAATTTACAATTAATGTCATAGTGCAAGTATCACAGGAAGTCGGCCATTTTGGATTGAAGGTCCAATTTTGAGGCCATTTTTGCCGTTTACAGCCTCCGTATTTGATCGAACTCCTCCTAGGGATTTCGATTGATCGGCTTCAAACTCGGTCAGTCTGTTCATAAGGCATGTCTCATCTAAAGTTATCAAAACGGTGAGTTTTTGAGTATGCTGAAGGGGGGTTAGCAGGGGTCAAAGTTCACCTACTCGCCATAAAAACATAAACTGCTATATCTCCTACACAAAAATTCACAGAGGCACCAAGTTTCTGTGATTATCATCATCGGTGTCCTACAATACCTAATGGTCGAATGATGACATCACTTAGGCCACGCCCCCTGAGAACAGGAAGTGTAATGTTTTACTGTGAACGGTCGCTATCTGACCCCTTTGACCTCATCAACATGAAACTGTGCCAAGACAGAAGACATGTTGGTGTATTGAGGATTCCAACCCCGACCAGCTTTGATGGAGCAGGTGGGCGTGGCGGCGTGGCGAAGTGACCTGTAACGCCATTGCCATACGTTTGGCTCTCAATTCCACATTTTCAGGCCCAGCTGCTCCAAACTCACAAGGATGGATCTTCATCCACTCCCCGACAGGAATCCATCACAATATTTGGTGGGCGTGGCCTAATTTCTCTATAGCGCCCCCTAGAATTTTAAATGATCAGCCCCAAGCCATGCTTTAACCTACAATTACGAAACTTTGTACACATGTGTACCATGTCAGGACTTACAAAAAAGTCTCTTGGAGCCATGGTCTAAACCCCAGAGGAAGTCGGCCATTTTAGATTGAAGTTCAGATTTTGACCCCATTTTTGGCGTTTATAAACCATTTCAGTAATTCGCCACTTGGGGTCAGTATTGCTCCACAAATGAAACAGCAGATAAACAGGATGAAGAACAATATCAGTATTTCGCCAGTAGGTGTCAGTGTTCCTCCACCAATGACAAACAGATCCACGGGCGGATGGGCGTGAAAACTTTGTGAGAGCGTTGCCATGAAATTTCTAAAAGGATGGAAATGTCTCAGATAATTTTTGTTGAATTAAATCATGCAGTAAATGTAGCGTTTTCTTACTTCTTACAAATCATTTCAGTAATTCGCCACTCTGAGTAAGTATTACTCCAACAATGAAATAGAGTGCTTTAGAAACACAGCTGAAAATGATGAAAAATGACGAACTGTAGTACTTCGCCATGTGCATATGATCGGCTGTAAATGACACGTGGATCATCCGACTGACGCCAAATTGGATACGTATGACCTTTGTTGACCTCTAAAGAGAACAACAGCATTGAAATATATTTTGACTCCACTGCGCGTCCTACATTAATCCGCCAGCTATATTTCCTCGCTAAACCAATGAATCTGCACCACATTTTTTGCATCGTCAAGGAGCGCCTCCGAACGCATCAGTGCGTACCGCCTGGTGGACGGGCGCGGAAACTGCGCAACAACTTCTGTGTTAGCACGTGGCCAGCGTTGATGGAAACTGAGCAACAGCTTCCGCGGTGCGGGCGGAGGAGCTGAAAACTGCGTGAGAGCTTCTGTGGTGGCTGACGTGAGGCGACGGTTGCTAGTACCCAGCGGTGGCAATAGGCCGGAGCGGCGCTTGGCTGCGAGGGCCGTTCGAGGCTGCTTGCAGCTTTAATTATTATTATTCTTCCACCCAAATGAATTGGCTTTTTGGGGGCTTTATCATATTCAAAAACTCACCAAACTTGGCGGAGGCCTTAAGCCTGTTTAAAATTTACGTATTTTAAAGTCGTAGCAAAAATTGCAACAGAAATGTCTCTACGGCGCCACCTAGAAATTGGAAAAACACCCTTTTTTACCCTCTGCTATTCACTTACTTTATCGTAGACACATGAAATTTTGTACACTTGTAGAACTCCCCAAGACACTCAAAATTTACAATTAATGTCATAGTGCAAGTATCACAGGAAGTCAGCCATTTTTGATTGAAGTTCCCATTTTGACCCCATTTTTGCCGATTTTTGCCGTTTACAGCCTTTGTATTTGATCTATCTCCTCCTAGGGATTTTGATTGATCGACTTCAAACTCGGTCAGTCTGTTCATAAGGCATGTCCCATCTAAAGTTATCTAAACGGTGAGTTTTTGAGTATGCTGAAGGGGGGTTAGCAGGGGTCAAAGTTCACCTACTCGTCATAAAAAAATAAACTGCTATATCTCTTACACAGAAACTCACAGAAGCATCAAAGTTTCTGTGATTGATCATCATCGGGTCTTCTACAATACCCTATGGTCGAATGATGACATCACTTAGGCCACGCCCCCTGAGAACAGGAAGTGTAATGTTTTACTGTGAACTGTCGCTATCTGACCCCTTTGACCTCATCAACATGAAACTGTGCCCAGACACAGAAGACATGTTGGTGTATTGAGGATTCCAACCCCGACCAGCTTCGATGGAGCAGGTGGGCGTGGTGGCGTGGCGAAGTCACCTGTAACGCCATCGCCATACGTTTGGCTCTCAATTCCACATTTTCGGGCCCAGCTGCTGCAAACTCATAAGGATGGACCCTCATCCACTCCCCAACAGGAATCCATCACAATATTTGGTGGGCGTAGCCTAATTTCTCTATAGCGCCCCCTAGAAAACTTTAAATGATCAGCCCCAAGCCATGCTTTAACCTACAAAATACGAAACTTTGTACACATGTGTACCTTGTCAGGACGTACAAAAAAGTCTCTTGGAGCCATGGTCTAAACCCCACAGGAAGTCAGCCATTTTGGATTCAAGTTCGGTTTTTGACCCCATTTTTGCCGTTTACAGCCTTCATATTGATCTATCTCCTCCTAGGGATTTCGATTGATCGGCTTCAAACTCGGTCAGTCTGTTCATAAGGCATGTCTCATCTAAAGTTATCTAAACAGTGAGTTTTTGAGTATGCTGAAGGGGGGTTAGCAGGGGTCAAAGTTCACCTACTCGCCAAAAAACATAAACTGCTATATCTCCTACACAAACTCACAGAGGCACCAAAGTTTCTGTGATTGATCATCATCGGGTCTCCTACATTACCCTATGGTCGAATGATGACATCACTTAGGCCACGCCCCCTGAGAACAGGAAGTGTAATGTTTTACTGTGAACGTTCGCTATCTGACCCCTTTGACCTCATCAACATGAAACTGTGCCCAGACACCGAAGACATGTTGGTGTATTGAGGATTCCAACCCCGACCAGCTACGATAGAGCAGGTGGGCATGGCGGCG